TCATCAGGATTAATTGAGATTTTTACTTTGATTCTCTCAATGTTTAGAGAAAAATTAAATATTAGATCATAGAGATAAGATCGTGGATTTTCAACAAGGATTTGTTCGATTTTTATGATATATTTTGTTAATAGATTAAAACAGTTATTATCAATATTCATTAGTATTAAGTTTTTCTGAAAAATAAAGAGAAAATCACTAATAATTATTAATTGTTTATCATTTGTTAATAAATTTTGTAAAATCTTTCCGTTTTTAAGCTCAAAAAAAGATGAAGTTGAAAAAATTTCAAAAATTTTCAATAATTTATTTTCATCAATACATCGATTAAACATATTGATAGCGTCAATTAATTGAGATTTATTATTTTTATATAATTTTTCATCGAAATCAAAACATGGAATTTCCCGTATAACGCATGAAAATTTTATTTCACTATTGATTTGTTCAAGTTGATCATCATCGGCGCTATGAATAGCGCTCAAAATTTTTGATAATTTTTTTTCTGATTCTTTTCGATCTGCATAAGAAAATTTTTGAATATATTCTAATGTTTCTCTTGTCCATCTTAACCAATAATGTTTTAAATATCCTCTATGTAATCCTTTAGAAAACTCTATCAATAAATCCACAATAGGATTATTTTCTAACCAACGATGAGTAATTAATAATTGATTGAAGACTTGTTTTTGATATTTAATATATTTCAAAGTTAAAACACTATGATTTCCCTCTTGTAAATTATAAAGATAAATATACATGAAATCGGATATATGTTGTATATTAATAGATTTTATTTCAGAAAAAGAGAGTTGATTTTCTAATTGTAAAATAAAATTCAAACCAATTTCTAAAAGAAGTTCTTTATTAGGTGTTGAATTAAACTTTTCAATTAATTTTTTATCAACAAAAGTATTTTCAATATGAAAAAATTTCCATTGTTGTCGATCGAAAATTTCTTTTCGAACTTTAATATTTTGTCGATTTAAAATTTCTTTTGAAAGTTTTTCCTGTGGTATTTCAGCTAATGATTCTGTACGTCTTTCAAGCATTAGCAAGACGTTGACTAAAACGTTGTGCATTTATTATTCTATTGATTGTATTTCGTAAATTTGCGATTGCTACACTACGAATTTCTAAGCCTGTTGCTAATTGATAAATATCTACTTTTTGTATTTCATCTTATAATTGTTGATAAACTACTTGATATTGTTTTAAAAATTGATTATATTCATTTAAGACATTTTGTGCTAATAAAACTATACCTATACTCATTTGCTCTGTATCAAGTTTTTGTGCATGAAGTCGTTGATTTTCTGAATTAACTAATTGAGAAAATTTTTCTTTTAAAATTAGTATTTGTTTAGCATCATTTTCAATATCCGGAAGTGTATATACTTTATACGGAGGTAAACCTTCTAAAGCAGCCATTTTTACTAGAAAATCATTTAAACCTGGAGCTAACCAATGTTGAAAGGAACCTAATTTTTCAGGATTACAATAGTCATCAAAAACTTTTGATGTCTGTTGAAAAACATGCTGATGATTTATAGCATGTATTTTTTGTACAACTTCTTGATTTTTATGTTTATGAGATTTACTCGCACCTTTTTCTGCATGTCTATCTTTGTATTTGTGCCTAAATCTAACATTATCTTTATCATCTTTGAACGGAAGCATATCATAATCTTCATAATCTGTTTCTTCCTCTTCGTTATATCTGTAGTTCGATTCAAGACGACCTCCTTTTAGTTTACTTATTTTTCGCTTTGGAACAGCTACTGAGAAAGGATTTATCCAATTACTTATAGCTACATAGTCAAGTCCATCTTTGCCATGTTTGCCATGTTTGCCAGCTTCGCCTGGTTTACCGTCCTCACTCTCTTCTTTTTCTACTGACTCTTCAGATTCAATCTGTGGAGATACAGAATCTAAAGCAATGATTTTAACTATTCTGTCATCACCATTCTTACCATGATATCCTCCTGAACCTGCATCACCTTCCTCACCTCCCTCACCACCAACACCACCATCAGTACCAATTCTACGACAACGATACGACCAGGCACCACCTACAAATGCCCAGCATCCTGATATCCTCTTTTTTAAAGCCTCTACATCAGCACTGGCACCATCAGCTCCATCGAGACCCGCAGCTCCATCTCCTCCATTCTGTCCCTTTCCTCCTTTTCCACCACGAACTAACACCTTAATTTCTGGCAATTCATTCGCAACTACATATATATGTCCTGCACTTTTGCCAGGTTTTCCATCTGATCCATCTTTTCCTTTCTTTCCTTTATCAGTCGAATATGTCTTACTGCCATTTTTAGCCTTTTTATGTTTCCAAATGTTTTTTGCACATTTTCCATTCGTAATAATTTTCAACTCATCTTTACCATCAACTAATTTTTGATGTTGACTAATTATAACAATATTTAATCCTGAATATTCTTTACTAGATAAATCAACATCAATATAAAGCTTATCGCAGTTAATTATTCTTATCTCATTATTAGAACAAAAACAATCTAACATGTAGATTTAATAGTGTGTAAAATTCGACCAAGAATAGCAAAAGTTATTGTTATTTCATAAGTAATATAATTTGAGTGTTCAATAGTTTCTCTTTTATACCAATTAATGTAACTATTTAGAATATTCTTTAAATTATCGACTTTTTCTTTAAATAAAGGTCTAAGTGTATGATTTCTATTACTCAAAATATCTATTAACTGTTGAGCAAATTCATAATTTTCTCCACTTAAATATTCGATAACTTCTAAGTACAAAGCTAAATATTTTTTATAACTACTGGAAGGATTTTTCAAAAGATTCAATAACTCCTTTAATCTTTGTGACATAATCTTTCTCAATTGTTTATCTTTAATCGCTTCATAACTAGATAATAAATCATAGAAATTTTTTTCAAAAATGATGAAAACCTAACAAAGCTTTATGACGAAATTCTAATAAGCTTGATGTATACGCTTCTACAGTATCTATAATACACTGTCGTACGCATTGACTTATTTCAGCACTGACCTTTTCATCATTATCTTGTAGAAAATGTTCACATTTTTTTACCATATTCGATAAATCTTTATCATTGAAAATTTGAATAATGTTTTTTATATCAGTAAAACTTATATCGGGTTTAACATGATCGAAAATGTCTTTTTTAACTTTGCCATCAGCAGGGTATGAGTGTGGGTGTGGGGGAGTGTGGGTGAGTGTGGGTGGGTGTGGGTGAGTGTGGGTGGGTGTGAGTGCGTGTATGGGTGTGGGTATAGGTATGGATGGGCGTGGCTGTGGGTGTGGGTGCATGGGCGTGGCTGTGGGTGTGGGTGCATGGGTGTGGGTGTGGGCGTGAGCGTGTGGGTGGGGTGTGGGTGTGGGTGTGGGTGTGGGTGTGTGAATGTGGATGTGAGGGTGTGGGTGTGAGCGTGTGAGTGAGGTGTGGGTGTGAGTCTGGGTATCGGTGACTGTCAATCGATCTTTAACAGCACCACACACTCACACCCACAGCCACACCCACACCCACACTCCACCCCACACCCACACCCACACCCACATCCCACACCCACAGCCACGCCCACC